AAAAAAAAAAAAAAAAAACAAACAAAACAAAAAAAAAACAGCGAGGGAGATGCTTTGACATTTCGCCGTTTCTCTTTCTCAATCTGAACGATTCCTCCCCCCTCCCTTTCCCCCCCCCCTTTCTCTTACCTTGATTTGTGCATGTCATCCGTTCCTTGCATCGTGCTGTCTATTGTGACTAACTAGTTTTTTTTTTTTTTTTGATAATTACTTAGTAATTAGTTGTTTAGTTAATTAAGTGAACAAAAATTGTACTTCATCATCGTTTTCCAATTTTAACGGCTATATGACGTCCCGAAGTACTGTCCTTTGAATTATGTTGTTTCTTTCATCTGGTGGCAATCAGGTTCGGGACCACATCTGGTGATCGATCATTTCAAAAGATGACGGGTGTGAACCGACCGACCGAGGTAGAGAGGCTCATTTGGTGAAGTACTGAATTTTGGCCTTCAGCACCTTGCCACGAACAGAAAGGGGGGAAAGGGGGCTGCACCTAGATTCTGTCATTTTATTTTTAGCCCGTACAATTTTCGAGGAATAAAAAAAGAAAAGAGACAGAACCCACGTACAGCTCTCGTGCTCATGCCAAGGCCTCACCTAGGGCGTGGTCCCACTAGCAAAGAGGATCGGATCGAATGCCTGGATCTGGACGTGTTTGTAGAGAGGTGCAGGAAATCGAGATTGAACTGCTTTTCTGCATAAAACACATCCAGATTCAGGCATTCGATCCGATCGTCTTTGCTAGTGGGACCTCGGCCCTAGGCAGTATCCGGATTCTTCAATTTATTCGTTTAATTTATCATTTTGTTCGTTTCAATCTCAGGGCGTCGATCACGGATATCATATCGTAAAATCAATGGGCAGAAAAAAAAAAAAGGCCGTAGATGTTCCACAACATCTCATCGATCGATGGCATGAAAAGGAAGAATCCGAGTGAAAACTCGCGCAGCAGCTCGTCCAGCTCAACCTTGTTTTCTAGTCGAGTCAACAAAATCCACAGAATCGTACATGTAGGAGATTAGTTATGTCCCTCTTTAAAATAACAAACAAACAAACAAACTAACAAACTGCAAGCCCCTCTTTGAAATAACAAACAAACAAACAAACAAACAAACAAACAAACAAACAAACTGCAAGCATCTGTTCGTTCCATCCTGATGGGAACAGCAACAAGTGTCATCAGAGCGGAATCTGACCATACGCAAAACACACATAACCGTTTTCCATTCTGGTTCGGTTCTTCAACCCATAGCCAAAGATAAAAATAGAATGGCCAAAGAAATCGTGCTGTGACCGTCATTACGTCCCGTCTTGGATGTATCTGAGCTTGCCCTGATCAGTTCAAAAAGTCCAAATGGTGAGTTCGCCCTCACTCTTTTTTCTCCACGGGGAGCGACATCGAGCTTGTCCGTATTCAATTCCACACACACACAGAGAGAGAGAGAGAGAGAGAGAGAGAGAGAGAGAGAGAGAGAGAGAGTTTTGATAATGACCCTGCTTCCTTGGGAATGCATCATCCAGTTGAACCTCCACAAACACTCGCAGACGTGGCGGCAACGGCAGCCACGTGCAGCAGCGCACAGTGCCGCAGGCTCCGCATGCACGGCGGCGGTCGCGTTTCCCACGTAGAGCCGCACACAGTAGCGCAGGCTCGCCGGGCACGGCGGCCGCGCCGCGCCAGCCACGTGGAGCCGCGCAGTAGCGCGGGCTCCGGCTCCGCATGCACGGCTGCCGCCCAATGCCAGCAACGAGGCTCGCCATGCACGGCGGCCGCGCAATGCCAGCCACGAGGCCGCAGGCTCGCCATGCACGATGGCTGGCCGCGCGTGACGCCGAGGGGGCCTACTGGCGCCAGTGAGCCGCACCGTTGACCCGATCTTCGTAGTCATCCATAATCAGAAACGAAGAAGTTGAGCCAAAAAAAAGAAACGAACCGCGCCGTTGACCCCATCTTGGTAGTCATCCATGGTCAGAAACGAAGAAGTTGAGCCAAAAAAAAAAAGGAAAAAAAGAAACGAAGAAGTTGAGCCCCGCCGTTGACCCCATCTTCGTAGTCATCCATGGTCATAAACGAAGAATCCACCGGCGACTCGCGACGGCTATACCGGTGGGGCGTCGCCTTGGTAGTCTCCATGTTGTCACATGTGGAAAGATTCCTTCTCATTTGCACATGTGAAAGACAGTCTTGTGGAATGCCCCTGGGGTGGGTTGGAATTCCCATCTTCGCAATATACCCCTACCGGGTATTTTCCACCCTTGCAAAATGCCCCGGGTCTTGCGACAAATTCCAGGGCCCAATCGCTAAGTGCCCAGACCCCCAAAAAGCGAGGTCCAGTTTGCAAAATTGAGCGCCCGCCTGACAAGCAGGGGCATAACACACAAAGAACTCGGCCCAAAAGGGCATTCCGGGGCAAGGTCCCAGTTGCGCAAATCAGGAGATTTCGGCCGTCGATCTTTGCAATCTACGGTCAGTATCTCTTAATTCGTGCAAGTGGGACCTAGCCCCCGCTCTACCCACATCTTGCAGGGCCGTTTTGGTATATATCTCTGCTTACGGCGGTATTGTGCAAATTAAATTATTCCTTTTTCTTCTTTTTTCGGAACCGAAGGAAAAAAGAAATCCGTGTTGGTAAGGCACGCAAGTGGCATTCAGGAGGTCGCGGGTTCAAGCCCCATTGGCCTCACGTTTGTGCCTGGGCATGCTTGGCGCCCGACATCTAGGGCGTCGTCCCACGAGCCCTGTCAGGCGGGTGTACAACTTCGCAATCTGGACGTCCCCGTTTGGGCCTTGGCCTTTTGCAATAGCGCCTAGGAAAAGTTGGCAAGTACTGGGGCATTTTGCAAAGTTGGACGATACCCGGTAGGGGTATATTGCAAAGTTTGGGTTCCAACCGATGCTAGGCGCATTTCACAAACAATCTTTTTTGTCAGAGGGGTATTCGGCTCTACCCACATCTTTTAGGGGCATTTTGGCAAAAATCTCAACTTATGGGGGTATTTTGCAAATTATCCCTTTTTTTGTATAAAGTCGTGTACCTTTTAGAACGTTGTGTAGTGGAATTACTCCCATAGGATGACCCTGCCTCCTGTCGGTGAAGGTCGGTAGGGGTCGCAGCGACCATCTCCATGTAGCTGGCCATCGCTGCGCTGAGTTGGAGATTTGAATCATCGCGTTCACCATCTGCAACTCCATCTTCATCTCCCTCTGGGCACCGGTTGCGCTACGACTCGTCGGATTTCCTTCTCTCTCTCTCTCTCTCTCTCTCTCTCCCTAAATCAGATTTCTATTTCGTGCGCCTCTTTTTCCTCTGTGGTGGTCCCCCTCCCCCCCCTTCCTTCGCCGCCTTCGCTCTGCATGTCGAGCAGTGCGACGTTGTGACTGCGTACTGCGTGCTGTGTGTTGTTCGGGCCCTTACTTTGCCCCGGCGATGGCGGGGGTAACGAGATAGAGCGAGACGACGAAGTGCAGCGCTAGATGATCTTCCCCGAAGTTCGCCGTGATTGTTCGGGCCCGTACTTTGCCCTTACTTCGCCGTTTTTTTGTTCGGCTTAACTTCGCCCTTACTTCGCCATGATTGTGCGGTGATTAGTCGGCTCAATTTCCCCTTACTTCGCGGCCGTGATTGCTCGGTGATTGTTCGGCTTAACTTCGCCTTACTTCGCCGGGATTGTTCGGTGATTGTTCGGCTTAACTCCGCCCTTACTTCGCCATGATTGTTCGGTGATTAGTCGGCTCAACTTCCCAATACTTCGCCATGATTTTTCGGTGATTATTCGGCTTAACTTCGCCTTACTTCGCCGGGATTGCTCGGTGGTTGTTCGGCTAAACTTCGCGCTTACTTCGACTTACTTCGCCGTGATTGTTCGGCGGGTTGACTTCGCCCTTACTTCGCCGTGATTGGTTTTGGGGGGGGTAGCTGCGCCGTCTTCGCGGTGATCGGTCCGCTGTACTTGGCCGCCGTGATTGTTCGGCGGATGAACTTGGGCGCGATTGCGGCCAAGTACGTCCGTCGAAGAAAGGCCTTGTGTGGTTGAGTATGCCCTTGGAGTGAGAGGATGGCTCTAAGTGCGCGCCTAGCCGTCGCCCGGCGCTGTTGTGCGCTGCTGTCAGGGCCAAGGAGCGGCGCCGGCATAGCCAGAAGCGCCGCCATGGCTATGAGCTTGTATTCTCGAGGAGGAGATGCAGATGTAGCGCCGTGCGCAGAGCTTGACACGTGTCATCGCCCAAACGCGGCTACGGCGGATGACCTACGCTCTATGAGCGCTAATCGACATTGCCAGATCCCAGCCGATGAGTTGGCGGACGATAGCGGCATCGGCCGCCGCCATCACGACAACCGCAGTTCCGCCGCCGCCGCCGCCGCCATCGCTTCCGCTCGTCTTACTAATGATGATGACGTGACCAACGTCTGGGATCGCGATCCCGGCCGTACGATCACCAGAGGCGGGGAAGAAGATCCAGCCGCAGCCAAGCAACCGTCCATTCGACAGAAGCGGGTCGCGATCCAGATCAGGTCAATCATCTGTGAGGAGATGGAGAGGACTGCGCTGCGGGACCACCTCTTGGGGCGATGTGGGTTCTTCGTCGACGGGGTCCGGATGAGTCCCGATCTTCGCACAGCCTTCATCACCTGGACCTGCCATCCCCAAATGGCGGCCGACGCTTATCGTAGGGTCTCCTCGGCAGCTTCCAAATTGCGCTCCGTCGTCTTCCAGAGGCTGGCCATGCGCTTCTCTCCGCGATTGGAGTTCAGATATGGCGGCTATGGCGGATCGACGCAGGACGAGCAAGAGCTGGAAGAGGCTTTTGAGAGGCTCAAGCGGGAAGAAGACTAAGTGCCCTCGCTCCACTATGCAACACTCTTGAGTGTATGTAGCAATGATAAGGTCCCCCTATACATTCGAAATGCTGGATCAGTCTGAATGAATCTGGTCCACACTGCAGTCCACCTACACGTAGGATGTTTGTTGACGATTGGAGTTCAGATATGGTGGCTATGGCGGATGGACGCAGGACGAGCAAGAGTTGGAAGAGGCTTTTGAGAAGCTCAAGCGGGAAGAAGGCTAAGTGAGTGGCCTCGCGCCACTATACAACATTCTGAGTGTATGTAGCGCTAATAAGGTCCCCGTACATTCGAAATGTTGGATCAGTCTGAATGAATCTGGTCCAGACAGACTGAAGTCCACCTACACGTAGAATGTTTGCTGAGTAGCGTAGCGAGCCCCGAAGAGGCGGAAGGTGGAAAAGGCTTTTTAGAGACGGAAGCGGGGCGACTAAGTGGCCGTGCTCCGCCACATGACATTCTGTATGTATGTAGCACGGACGGTGGTCTCGATACATTCAAAATCATGTTGAATCTGTCCGAATGAATCTGAATCTGGAGCGAGGCGCTGAGTGGCGGAAGGCACTCCCCGCGTCGAACATGCGACGACGAGATCTCGACATCGATAGCGCCAAGGTTGGGACTTGGATGGACGCTGACGGCATATACTCCTCACACCAGGACTGTTTCGACTGAGATCTGGACGTAATTGCGGTCATATACATTCAGCGCCGGCTGTAATAATACAGTAAGTGCCAGGCACATCCATCCCTGGAAGGTCCTAGTGTGAGTACGCCCTGGCTGTGTTCTGAGCGCCAAGCCGTCAGATCGCAATGGCTGAAGATGAAACTTCAACAGTCCGATCGTGCCTTCGATCGTTGGCCGGATCTCGAACTTCCGTCGTCCGATCTGAGGCTGAGAATTCCATTCCATCCGTCGATTACAATGGTGAAAGGGTTTGGGGAGAGGAGGAGGAGGAGGAGAGTGTAGAGAGGAGAGAAACGAGGTGGGTGAGAGGTGGGAGGAGGGGGGAGAGTAAGAAGGAGAGCATCTGCCTCTCCCGTGGCGGCCGTGGTGAAAGGGTTTGGGGAGAGGAGGAGGAGGAGGGTGTAGAGAGGAGAGAAACG